AGCAATCAATCCTGAGAGAGAAGTTCTAACTTAGTAACACCCAGGGAATGCTGCAGGAAACACATCTTTTTAAAGAATATGTGTCTGCAATATCTTGACTTTTCAGCTTTTTATGTCATCAAGCTCCTTGGAGATGTGTGTGAAAAAAACAGACTTTATTATAAAGCCCTATACATCTAATGTTTACTGATATTGACAGTGTAAATGAGGTGAAATGGATAATAGGGAAAATACGATGTGCTCTGACGAATGTGCAGATGTTATAAAATCACTCATGTAAACTTAAACAACACAAAAATCATTGATTTAACTGTAGTTTTGAATTGTTTATGAGACTATAGTCAGACTGGCGCCACCTAGTGCCTCCGTTCAATTTCATTTCTCTCCAGTGACTAGGTCAGGAATCAAAATACAGTAGTTTCGCAAAAACCCCCAGAAAAAGTACAAGTTTGGGCACCAGCCAATCGGCGAAGAGCCATATATTCAGTGTTGTCAACAATTCCCGAGAACCAGGATTTAAAGCCAGAACAAAGAGAATGTTTGGTGAATTTCATCAAGGGGAAAGACACAGCGATTGGTTAAATGATAAAAAGTATCCGCCTACTGTCGAGCGAACGAATTCTAACACTGCGAGGTCAGACGGTTTCTACAAAGTGAAACCATCTGATGAATCAGGCTAATGCGACTATGGCTTAATCATTCAAATGAAACAAAATAAAAAAACATATATCAATATAAAAATACATTCACAGCTTAAGTAAAGGTGCATTGTGTAACTTTTCTGGCGGAGGGTCAAATGCTTTTCTACAAGGAAAAATGTTATTGTGAGGGTCCTGATTGTTATTTTTATTACTTATTAGTATTAGTGTGTCTGCTTCACAGATTGAGCTGAGGTTAAACACTGCCCTGATAAGACCAGCCTCCCTGCAGTGGGTCCGCAGCTCTGTTTTTGGCAACAAGTCCACAGAAGAGAAAGGACCCGAGTACTGTCAAAACATGACAAACAGAACTAACTCATCGTAAACAGTTTGCAGTGCTCCAGAGTTACTCCTCACTTACCTTATGGATTCTATTATTCACCATGAGTTTAGAAGCACTTTTCACCACTTTCAGAGGTCAGAGCAGAGTTTTGTCATCACACTAATTGTAACAACAACTAGCATGCTAATGTGCACTTCCTGGTTCTTGGACAATAAAGCGTTTTGTTATTAAATTCAGGCAACTTGTCCACAGCAGACTTACCTTGACCACAAGAGCTGCTTATACAATCGATCTGTAGGCTACAGATCTGTACTTTTTTGCTTAAAATAAATAAATAAAATAATGTTTAATATTTAACATCTTTCCTCAATACAGTAAATAGATGCTGAGATTTAAGTCTGCCTATAGTCGTTTTTCTCTTGAGTTTATTTTCCTTTTGTTTAATGTGTGTTGTCTACATTTGTGTGGTTTGTACATTGAATTTATAAATGTAAATTGTAAAAATGAAATAAATACAACAAAAAAACATATATGTCGTAGGAATAGTTGTTCATTTATTTTCACACCATTTAATCATTTAGCAATACATAACACAACAACACAATAACACAACAGACCTGGCAAGTCCAGAGTGATGTCTGTGTATTTTTTATATAGAGGAATATCAGTCTGGTCACTGCTCCCTGTCGCGTCTCAAGTCTGTTCAGATGTGATCATCCAGTCACATTTGTTTTTCTTTTCAGTGTAATTTCACCTCGGATGAACAGAGTTTGGTGCTTCGCTCATTGATACTGCAGAAATCCACCATGTTTTTCTGTCTCCTGTGATATCGTTTTCCTCTTTTTTTTTCAATCTAGACAAAGACTGTATATATAATTGGACATAACAAACACATTATCTGTTGTGTTCCAAACAGGCAGTTAACATGCAGGCTCTTCCTGCTCCTGTGACCCCCGCTCCCATTAACTTACATTAGAATACAGTGGCACTTCTGTCTGTAGCTGCTGCAGTGTCATCATTTTGGTCTTTAAATGTTTGTATTAACCCGTTATGCATGATCCCGGTGTTTGTATTTGACAATTGTGTCCTAAAAAAAAAATTGTATTCTTGTATTTTCCCCTGTAACTGCTATCATCACGAGCTTCATTTGAGTGGAGCTGAATGCTGGGTCATTCCACCACAATTCACCCAAAAAAATTGCAATTTGAACACTCACATTGTCCAGTGGCAAAGAAAATTGGTGTATGGGTAAGTCATAGTCAAGAAAGACAAAATCTCATATTTTTGCATGATCGGAGTAACGGTTGTTGAGATATTGCAATTATTATTATTTTTTTACTTTTTGTGTGGTCGCTGAATTTCAAATTGCATTTACTCAGCAACTACTGGTCCGATATCAAAAACCAAGGTGTCTCTGGAAAGGGGACATCATAAGATATCCAAATTATTTTATTATTATTTGTATTTGAGCACTTTTGAGATGAATTACCTTTTGACCTATATTTTGACCTTGAAATTTTCAATAAGGGACACACCCGACCTCAATGACACCAATAGAAATAAATGTAGCCCTATATGTCGACTACAACATATAAAAAATCTGGAGGGGTTTTCTTTTGATTTTTAAACAAATTTACCTAGAAGTTGACTTACCCTCATCTTAAGATGTGCCAAATATTCAGTCAGTGTGTCGGCTGACAGTCAAAGGAACATTACAGTACCATCGTTTTGTCCCTGTCTCCTTGACACAGATGCATGTCCACAAACTCAGTGAACAGGCAAACCCCCTGATTTGGTTGCAGTTTATCAAGGACAAGAGTGATGAAGATGAACACGAAGGTCCTGCCAGTATCCCTCTTGTTGTTAGTTAGTTAGTTAGTTAGATTATTTGGTTCACACCAGGCAATAAAATTGTTATTATGTAGCTTATAGCACTCTGGTGTGGTCCGCTTTCACACCAGGAAACAAACCAAAATTGGTCTGATTGACGTGCCTCTGTTTCCCGGGAGAACAGCGATATCTCCAATTACCAGTACTGATGTTCCCTGTTAATACCGCGGGCTGTCCTCATCTCAAGTTACCATCATGAACTCATAATACAGCAACATGGAGAACTTTGTACGCAACTCACTGCACATCAGCCCACAGCAGCAGCCAACAACGCTAAAGAGGAGCACTCACTGTAGCACGCAGCCCCTCAGGACGGGGCTGAGGTCTGGTCCTTGGTCTTGTGTCATCCTCCAAGTGCGTTGGTCAGATGGTCCGGAGGCTCCATCCTCCATGTGCTGGTTCCCAACGGGGAAGAGCAAGACCTGGGTCCGAGCTGTTCCGTGCCATCATCTGCGCACTGGTTTCGTGTGAGGCAAGCGAAACGAGACCACCTTTTTTTTTGAGGTCTCGGTCTGCTTGATATAGTGCGGGTCTGAGTCCGATTGTCACTTTCACACCAACGAAAACGACCTGAACTAAGAGCTTTTGGTTCGAATGGACGGTCTGGTGCGCACCAACTACTGTCGGGGTGAAAGAACCTTTAGACCTCAGAAGTTCGTATGCTGCAGCTGTGATAAGTTCCCATGGATTGGTCTAGTGGAGGAGGTCTCAGAAGAATTCACTGACTATAAGATAAAGTTCATGCACTGTCATGGCCCAGCCAAAACCTTCTACTGGCCGTCTAAAGTTGATTCTTGTTGGATACCTGATTCAGACATACACTGTGTGATAAACACTCCTTTGTTGAAATCATCTTCAACAAGAAACTACAGCATTTCGCATCATGACATGTCCAGAAGTTCTAACCACTGTTTGAACTGGCCTGCAGATAAGGAGTAAATATCCTGATTTCATGAAACAAAGACAGTTGTGAAATTTTCAGTGACTTTTGGTACTGTGTGATTGACATTTTTTTCTTAGAGTTTATCAACTTCGACTCTGTGTGTATAAATGTATTAACATATACATTGAATGAATATTTGGCACGTCTTAAGATGGGGGTAAGTCAACTTCTAAGTAAATTTGTATGAAAAGAAAAAAGAAAACCCCTCCAGATGTTTTATATGTTATAGTCGACATATAGGTCACCAATTTTATTGGTGTCGGGGTCAGGCGTGTCCTTTCTTGTCAATTTCAAGGTCAAAATATAGGTCAAAAGGTAATTCATCTCAGAAGTACTCAAATGCAAAAATAAATGAGATTTGGATTCCTTATGATGTCCCCTTTCCAGAGACACCTTAGTTTCTGATATTGGACCAGTGGTTGCTGAGTAAATGCAATTTGAAATTTGGCGACCACGCAAAAAAGTTAAAAAATGAAATTGTGATATCTCCAAAACGGTTGGTCCAATCAAACTAATATTTGAAATTTTGGCTTTTCTGACTGTGATTTACCTATATACCAAGTTTCATCAAAATGTAAGAAACTAGGGTTTAACTCATTGGGTGAACTGAGGGGGACTGACCCTGCAAACGGTGACGTTTAGTAGCAGCTGGTCAATAGAGGGTGCGCACCACACTCCCTAGATAAAAATGTGTAAACTCGTTTTGGATTAGGCTATATATTTCATATTCTGTGTCTGCATATACATATTTTATAATGTTGAATGCGGTCATATCCCTTTATTTGATTCATGTCTTTGCCCCATAGACATGTATGTATATATATATATACACACACACATATATATACATATATATATATATATATATATATATATATATATATATATATATATATATATATATATATATATATATATATATATATTATATATATATATATATATATATATTTTTTTTTTTATACACAGTCTGTCTTTTGCTAATGGAATTCTATGCTCGGGTCACCACAAAACCACCGCTGGAGCACAGGGCACCATTCGTTTCTGGGCTGCATAGGGCTTAAGTTCACATTGAGAGAAAAACTCATCCTAAATATGCAGAATTTATGTATTAAACATGAATGAAACAAAACAACTCCAGGTATGTTTTTGATGAAGAAACAACAATATAACATAGATCAGAAAATAATAATAGTAATATAAGCTCTTTAATGCAGACTCCACATGATTACACATTAAAAGAAAAAAATAATCACAGTTTTATTTTTCTCACATTAATCAATCATAATTTTTATCTTATAAATGATGCAAACTTTTAATCAGTGGCATTACCACAAACACAAAACGCTGTCCAATTTCTTCCTCAAAAGTCTGAGCTCTGCTCCAAACTGCATGTTTGTACTGACAGAGGATTGACCCAAGTGTATTAGTAATGATTAAAATACCAATCTCGATTAAGAAGGTGTCTTTGATTCAGTTTGTTGGAATGATCAGCTCACATATGCTCCTCTCAAACAGGTCGTTCACCTGCTTCTTCAGGTGGTGCATCTGAAACAAGACATGTATAGATATTTACCATAGAAATACTTTTGAACAAGTCAGAGGTTCTACATGTGACGCGACAATCCTGAAAAAAAATTATAAATGTGTTTGGTGACTCCTCAGATGGAGAAGACTTTGTACAGAGCATTAATGAAATCAGCATGAATGAAGCATAATGTAATAGAAAGAAATAAAACAGAATCTAACATTTTTTCTGGTATCCATAGACCTCCACTTCACAGAGGGTCAAATACTTGTCTGTCCCTGGGATGAGCACGTTCACATACTGCCCCTCCACAGCTCCATCCAGTATGAAGGTTTTAGAGCGGCCTGCTGGGATGTGTGAAACTGTAGCCACTCTGAAACAGACAGGTGCATCATTATGTGTGTTATTTATTTATATTTAATCATAATTACATTTGGACACTCAAAGACATGTTGCAGAGCATTAGTCATTCACTCCACACTGGTGGAGGTAACATACACAGCTGCCCTGGGGCAGAGTGACAGAAGCGAGGCTGCCAATCTGTGCCATCGGCCCCTCCCACCATCAGCAACACTCACAGCACATTGATACTAGTGTGGATGAAGTGTTTTAACATCAGCACTAACCAGGCCCAGGCCTGTTTAGCTTTGCAGATCTGAGAAGATCAGGCTTTGAAAAGGTCTGGGGTCATGTGGTACAATCATAGACTGTATAAAATGGACTGAGAGAGTACAACGCTCTCCATAGTGTTTAGCTCCAGCCAAATGAAGTCAATCAAGGCTAGCCATTATAGCTGCTAATTTGTGAGCAACAAGGCACATTAGCTGTCAATCAAACCTGCTGCTAACACGAGCAGGAGCTGACCTCTGGAAAAGAAGGGGCTTGATTGATCTGTTATTAATGTTCACAATACACAATAGTAGAATAAAAACACCAGGATCATACACAGCCACTTAAAACAAACATTTCAAGGTCACAGTGAGAAACCTCATTCTAAGGAGCAACAGTTTGTCAAAAGAATTGAGCCAAACTCTGATAGAATTATTGTGCACCCATGCTCACTTTCTGATTGGAACGCAGTGACTAGTGGACTATCTATGTCCATCTAGCTAGTTTACTGCCTACAGTTAGAATATCCAAAACCCAAGAAACTTACAGTTTATTGCTGTTCCCATTATTGTCCAAGGAGTTGCCCACACGGATCTCAGCACCGTCCAGTCTCTCAGGGCAGCAGTCTTTTCTGTTTGTGATGATGATGGAGGTAACAAAGTATGGGTCTTTCAGGTCCACTCTCCACCAGGGGTTAGTGGTGGTGGCTGTGTGGGAGCATGACTTATGATCGTAGATAGAATTGCGGTTACCATCAATGGCATTGGAAGCAGCTCCGAGCTCATTGTATGTGTCAATCTGGGTCGCTTCTCCGGTAAGAGCCAAATTAACTGAAAATCAACAAAAACAAATGTGGGGATTGCAGAATAAGATTTTCAAAAAAGGGAAACATAAATATAAATGTGAGTAAAAGCAAAAAGCAGAAAAGTGGTAAAGACTTTGTACCTTTAGCATCTGCCTCCCCGTAGACCTCCACTTCACAGAGGGTCAAATACTTGTTAGTTCCTGGTAGAAATACATTGACATAACGTCCTTCAGTAGGTGGACATACAATAAATTTTTCAGAACTGCCTTGTCCGATGTGGGAAATCGTAGCCACTCTGAAAATATATACATACCACAATATTTTTATTGAAGTACCAGTACTGTTACTTGAGTAAACGTTTTCTCACTGTGAGCATGTGACAAAAGCTTGATGTTAACAGTGTGCATATTTGTACATTATTTAATATTTTGTTCTTCCAATTATAAATCAGGGCTGGACTGGTCATCTGGAGCACCAGGAGTTTTCCCGATGAGCTGAGGAACTTTTGAGCCAATCACTGTGAGACCTGATGTACTGTTCCAGTGACCTGCTCTTAGACCAGAGACAGACTGTGCAAAATGCATTTTGGATTCATGTTTTTTAGAATGGATTAAAAGTGAAAGATTTAAGAAAACAGAATCCAACCTATTTTTTTGACGCTTGACACGAGCATAAGCACATATCCCCATCATTTAATTACAGTTAATAATATGAGTTTATTGAAAGCAGCCAAAAGCATTAGGGTTTGTGTAACAAATACCAATAAAGAGCAATAATAACACAACATTTTACACTCATTTTAAATGAGCAAGCTTAACCTAATGATGATAATCAATTAACAAAAAAAGAAAAAAAAAAAAAGAAAATCACTTGTGCAAAGGGGCTGGTCCAGACCAAATTGTTCAGGGTCAATTTCCTCTGTCAGTCCAGCGCTGAAATCAGCTCTTATGTCTCAACAGTTACTCTTTAAGTAAACACTCTTTCCTGAGTAGTAGTTTTCCCAAATACTCTTTTACTCGAGTAATTTATTGAACCATTATTTTGTACTTCTACCTGAGAAATATATATATTTTTAAAGTTACAGGTGTATTATGTCACTTCTCTGGTAGAGGGTCTGTCAAATAATTTTGTCTGTGCAGATGTTATTGCTTTGTTTAAAATGTTCCGCAGTTTGGTATTAAACATTTAATCTTCATGGAAACCAAACAAGACCAAGTTACAGGTCAGATCTGTGGAGAAGCAATCCTCACTCACAGTCAGAATGCCTGTTTTTCTAGGTATTTTTGAGCAATAGAACCATCTGTAATTAAATAAATGTATGTTTAATGTGAATTTGTGGCGACTCTTTCCACCTCTGGATTGTAGTTGTCATGAATACTGACAGTTAAAAAGTCTGTTCAAACTTACAGTTTATTGTTGTTCCCATTATTGTCCAAGGAGTTGCCCACACGGATCTCAGCACCGTCCAGTCTCTCAGGGCAGCAGTCTTTTCTGTTTGTGATGGTGATGGAGGTAACTGTGTACGACTCCTGCAGGTCCACTCTCCACCAGGGGTCAGTGGTGGTGGCTGTGTGGGAGCATGAGTTATGATCGTAGATAGAATTGTGGTTACCATCAATGGCATTGGAAGCAGCTCCGAGCTCATTGTATGTGTCAATCTGGGTCGCTTCTCCGGTAAGAGCCAAATTAACTGAAAATCAACAAAAACAAGTGTGGGGATTGAGGAATAAGATTTTTCAAAAAAGGGAAACATAAATATAAATGTGAGTAAAAGCAAAAAGCAGAAAAGTGGTAAAGACTTTGTACCTTTTGCATCTTGCCTCCCCGTAGACCTCCACTTCACAGAGGGTCAAATACTTGTCAGTTCCTGGTAGAAATACATTGACATAACGTCCTTCAGTAGGTGGACATACAATAAAATTTCCAGAACTGCCTTGTCCGATGTGGGAAATCGTAGCCACTCTGAAAATATATACATACCACAGTATTTTTATTGAAGTACCAGTACTCTTGAGTAAAAATTTTCTCACTCTCATTTTGGCTCTTACAGGAGCAGTGACATTTTGTCAATTTTGTCAAGTGACAAAATGTTAACAGTGAGCATTTTTGTGCATTACTGAATATTTTGTCCTTCCAATTATAAATCAGGGTTGGACTGGCCATCTGGAGCACCGGGAGTTTTCCCGATGGACCGAGGAACTTTTGAGCCAGTCACTGTGAGACCTGATGTAACTGCACTTTAACTAGCCAGAATCACACCCTTTCTGAAAAAAAAAAACAAAAAAACGGCCTGGACCCTGACAACCTGGACAACTTCGAGCCATCTTCAAGCTTCCTCTCCTCTCTAAAACAGAATGTGCCATCATTACTCAACTCCAACAATACCTCCTTAACTTCCAGCTTTTTGAAATATTTTAATCTGGTTTCTGCCCCCATCACAGCACTGAAACAGCCCTCCTAAAGGTCACCAACGACCTCTTCCTCGCCACAGACTCTGGTTCCCTCTCCATTCTCCTCGACCTCAGCGCAGCATTCGACACCATCGACCACACCATCCTCCTCCACCGTCTACAGTCCATGGCATCTCTGGCACTGCACTCTCCTGGTTCTCCTCCTACCTTTCTGACCATCACCACTACATCTCCATAAATAACTCCAAAGCCCACTCCTCCCCCGTCACCACTAGTGTTCCCCAAGGTTCGGTGCTCAGCCCCCTCCTCTTCATCATCTACATGCTTCCTCTCAGCCACACCATTCGCTACCATGGACTAAATTTTCACTGTTACGCCAATGACACTCAAGTTTACATCTCCACCAGATTCATCTCCCCAGTCATTCTCTCCACCATTACAAACTGCCTATCTGACATTAACACCTGGATGGACCACAACTTCCTCAAACTTAACATCAATAAAACAGATAAATAAATAAAACTACTCATCACCGGACCCAAAGCTCTCCTCCCCACTGCTCAGAACATCTCCCTCATCATCGATGGCCACACCGTTACCCACTCTCCCTCAGTACTTGGCATCATCATAGACCCTACCCTTTCATTCAGAGTCCACATTAGCCACATCACTAAAACATGTTTTTTCCACCTTCGCAACATCACCCTTCTCCGCCCCTCCCTCTCTCAGCCCACCGTAGAAATACCCATTCATGCCTTTATCTCCTCCAGACTCAACTACTGCAACAGCCTACTGTACGGTCTCCCCTCCACCCACCTCCAAAAACTGCAGTACATCCAAAACTCTGCTGTCCGCCTCCTCACCCACACCCGCTCCAGAAACCACATCACTCCTGTCCTTAAGCAAATCCACTGGCTCCCTGTACAATACCACATCCAATACAAGGTCCTGTTCATCACCTTACAGTCCCTCCATAACCTCATAACCTGGCCTCTCCATTTCTCACCAACCTCCTCCGTCTGCACTGTCCCACCCACCGCCTCAGATTAGCCCACACCAACCTCCTCACTCCCCTCATCAGGACAAAGCACCGGACCTTGGGGGACCAAGCCTTCGCCGCTGCCGCCCCGTCCCTCTGAAACTCACTCCCACAATCCTTCACTTCAAATCACATCTAAAAGCTCACCTGTTCAAACTGGTATTCCCCCATGATTCCCCCGTTTTCTACAATGTCACTTTTTAAGTGTTTGTAAAGTGTCTTTGAGTGTCCAAAAAAGTGCTATATAAGTTTGATGTATTATTATTATTATTATTATTATTATTATTATTATTATTATTATTATTATTATATACCATTCCTACTCTTACACCAGAGACACACTGTGCACTTGTGCAAAATGCATTTTGGATGCATGTTTTTTAGAAAGGATCAAAAGTGAATGAGGATGGGCACACTGGCCCCGTTAGGTGCACGTATGGAGCAGCATGTTCTGTATGTAGATTTCAGAAAACAGAATCCAATCTATTTTTTGACTCTTGACACGAGCATAAGCACATATCCCATCATTTAATTACAATTAATAATATCAGTTTATTGAAAGCAGCCAAAAGCATTAGGGTTTGTGTAACAAATACCAATCAATAGCAATAATAAAACCAAATTTTACACACATTTTGAATGAGCAAGCTTAACCTAATGATGATAATCAATTAGCAAAAAAAAATAAAAAATCACTTGGGCAAAGGGGCTGGTCCAGACCAAATTGTTCAGGGTCAATTTCCTCTGTCAGTCCAGCGCTGAAATCAGCTCTTACGTCTCAACAGTTACTCTTTAAGTAACCACTCTTTCCTGAGCAGTAGTTTTCCCAAATACTCTTTTACTCAAGTAATTTATTGAACCACTGCTTTGTACTTCTACATGAGAAATATATATTTTTAAGTTAAAGGTGCATTATGTCACTTCTCTGGTAGAGGGTCTTGTCAAATAATTTTCTCTGTGCAGATGTTATTGCTTTGTTGAAATGTTTTGCAGTATTATATTAAACTTTTTTATCTTCATGGAAACGAAACCAGACCAACTAACAGGTCAGATCGGTGGAGTGGCAACCCCACTCACAGTCAGAATGCTTGTTTTTGTAGGTATTTTGAGCAATGGAACCATCTATAATTAAATAAATGTAGAGATGTTTAATGTAAATTTTTGGTGACTCTTTCCACCTCTGGATTTTAGTTGTCATGAATACTGACAATTAAAAAGTCTGTTCAAACTTACAGTTTATTGTTGTTCCCATTATTGTCCAAGGAGTTGCCCACACGGATCTCAGCACCGTCCAGTCTCTCTGGGCAGCAGTCTCCTCTGTTTGTGATGGTGATGGAGGTAACAAAGTGTGGGTCTTTCAGGTCCACTCTCCACCAGGGGTCAGTGGTGGTGGCTGTGTGGGAGCATGAGTTATGTCTGTAGATAGAATTGCGGTTACCATCAATGGCATTGGAAGCAGCTCCGAGCTCATTGTATGTGTCAATCTGGGTCGCTGCACTGGTAAGAGCCAAATTAACTGAAAATCATCAAAAACAAGTGTGGGGATTGAGGAATAAGATTTTTCAAAAAAGGGAAACATAAATATAAATGTGAGTAAAAGCAAAAAGCAGAAAAGTGGTAAAGACTTTGTACCTTTAGCATTTGCCTCCCCGTAGACCTCCACTTCACAGAGGGTCAAATACTTGTCAGTTCCTGGTAGAAATACATTGACATAACGTCCTTCAGTAGGTGGACATACAATAAAATTTTCAGAACCGCCTTGTCTGATGTGGGAAATCGTAGCCACTCTGAAAATATATACATACCACAATATTTTTATTGAAGTACCAGTACTCTTACTTGAGTAAATGTTTTCTCACTGTGAGCAAGAGACAAAAGCTTGATGTTAACAGTGTACATATTTGTATATTATTGAATATTTTGTCCTTCCAATTGTAAATCAAAGCTTGACTGGCCATCTGGAGCACCAGGAGTTTTCCCGATAGGCCGAGGAACTTTTGAGCCAGTCACTGTGAGATCTGATGTACTGTTCCAGTGACACACTGCACACTTGTGCAAAATGCATTTTGGACGTATATGTTTTGTAATGTATTACAAGTGAATGAGAACGGGCACACTGGCCCCTGTCAGCTTTCTCCTGGAGGAAGCCTGAAAAGAGTCTTAAAGAGAGTCTAGGAGAGTCTCTTTATTGGCTCAAGCAGGTACAAGTCTCTGATTCAAGTTGATTACAGGATTCAGCCACAAGGATCTCTTCACGTCACCCCTCCATAGTTACAGCAGAGTAGGTAGCTTTATACTCCACCATCTTGTCAAATATTGACTGACTGTATAACTTGTTTTTGCAGGAAATTCACAGTAATGTTGACTCAGCCTATTATGAATGGCACATATTAAGGGGTTTCAGACCCTCCCCTTTTCTGTCTCGTATACATCCCAAAGTCCAAATACATCATCTCTCTGCCTTGTTGACACATCAGAGTCCAGACATTAACCTTTCTTTATAACACAACATGTCAAGGGATACTGAACAACTTCTATATTGTATGGTGAATTAACATGATTAAAATGAAACATTAAAAACACAGAAAATAATTCTCACACCCAGTTAGGCACACAGATGGAGCAGCATGTTCTGTATGTAGATTTCAGAAAATAGAATCCAAACTATTTTTTGACATTTGACACTAGCATAAGCACATATCCCCATCATTTAATTACAATTAATAATATCAGTTTATTGAAAGCAGCCAAAAGCATTAGGGTTTGTGTAACAAATACCAATCAACAGCAATAATGCCCCCAAATCTTACAAACATTTTAACTGAGCAAGCTTAACTTAATGATAATAATCAATTAGCAAAAAAATAAATACATAAATAAAAAAAAATCACGTGTGCAAAGGGGCTGGTCCAGACCAAAATGTCCAGGGTTAATTTCCTCTGTCAGTCCAGCGCTGAAATCAGCTCTTATGTCTCAACAGTTACTCTTTAAGTAAGCACTCTTTCCTGAGTAGTAGTTTTCCCAAATACTCTTTTACTCGAGTAATTTATTGAACCATTGTTTTGTACTTTCACATGAGGATTTTTTATATATATTTTTTTTAAGTTAAAGGTTGTGAAAGAATTTCTGTGTTATTTTAAATATTATGAATCATTTAAAATCATAATCATTTGTGTGTGTGATAGAAGTGATAATGGGACACATTTTGTGAATAAGGTCATAGACTGGGAGAGCATCAAAAAATAGATCTAAAGACATTGCACGTATAGACCCCAATCGGCAAATGGGAGAGTAAGAACAAACTAATGAAACCATGAAGTAAAAGACACACCTGACTTTGTACCTGATCTCGCCCAGTACATGGAGGAAACATCACTGGCTAGAGACTGCTCAGAGAACAATAACCTGCCGGATCTTCCACTCTCTTCACAGCAGCATCCACCTGTCGGTGTTGGAGCCTTGTTGTTCATCAAAGTGATAAAACGGAAATGCTGGTCCAGTGATCGACAGGAAAGTACCACACCGTGTGTTGCTGACCACTCCCACCACTGTTAAGGTCGAAGGGAGGAGCGGGTGGATCCACCTGAGTCACTGTGAGTCCAGAAACCTCGACGCGTAAGAGAGACGCAGGACCTCGCACTACTAAGCAGCGACGGTGTTCTTACGAGAAGTACGGGCTGGTAACCCCTGCTTCTTGGGCACTGCAACATGGTCAGTCACCTGGTCACGTGAGTGACTGTACAACATCAGCCTGACTATCTGACGCAGCCTTGAATCCAGCCTGCAGAGCCACAGCCTCAGAAAGGGGACAACAAAGAAGTATGGTTACAGTGAAAAATGATGCTCTCCTGAGGGGTTTTGGAAATTTAAAATTAAGAAATTTGCGTTTAGATTCAGGTCTAGGCAACCACACAGACACGCTCATTTATTGCAACGACACGCTCATTTCAATAAAAAAGGGGCAAATAAAGCATACGGCAACACTGGGAGGGGGCTTTAACTTGTAACGAAAGCTTTGATAGCATATCATGGAAAAAAAAAATAAAATGATACTGCATGAGAACACACTCTCACCTTACAGTGAATTCAGATTTTAGGGGGCATGGAAAAATGTCATTTTATCAATTTTTTACATCAATGCTTAGTGGTATAAGTATTTTTTGTGTTATGTTGTATTTTATGTATCCGCTTGCTCCTGATAAAGGTGTTGGACAGAATTGAAGTTTATGTAGCTGAAGGGCATGAATCTGCTTAGAAGTTCTAGTACTCTGAGGTAAAGCATTATCGATAAACAGGAGGGAAATGTGAAAGAATTTCTGTGTTATTTTAAATATTATGAATCATTTAAAATCATAATCATTTGTGTGTGTGATTAAAGTTATCAACAATTGCATTTTTGGGGTTTTCCGTTCTGACAAAAAGCAACATTGGCTTTTTGTTTTTGTCTTGTTTTGTTGTGTTCAAGCTGTATCAGGTGATCTTGCTGATGTGTCGGCTGACTCATTAAGATAATGTACCGGGAGAAACAACGTAATGGTAAACATCATGAGTTTAACATAATGTACTGCACAGGTGTCAAACATAAGGCCCGGGGGCCGGATGCGGCCCTCCAAGACCTTTAATCTGGCCCTCGGCTGATTTTCTACTAAAATATTTTAATTATAGTTTCTATTAAAATATTGGTAATTTTCTGCGGTGCTTAGCATAGTGGCCCCTCCCACCAGAGCAGCATAAATGAAGATTTGCCTCTTTCTTAACACTCTTAAAGGACGATCGTTTTGACCTCATCAGCAAAATGTCAAAAATTAGAGAAGTCGACGCCAAGTGCAGGATTTTCCAAGAAAAATGGACTTATTCCTATTTGCATACAAGTCAATGTTAAAAAATTTAAGAAAAATTGCATTTTTCTTAAAGTTTCAGGTTGTTCATAATATTATAATGTTTTGTAAAAGAAAGAGTTCATCAATTAAAAAAGATTTCTGTAATAGAATTGTGTTTCTCTGCACAAATGTTTGAGCTTATTGTTATTTTTGGGGTTTATATGCCATGAGTTTTCTGATCCGGCCCCTTTGGGATCAAAGTAGGTTGGATACGGCCCCCGGACCAAAATGAGTTTGACACCCCTGATGTACTGTATTGTTATCTGTGAAATGACTTCAATAAAAGCTGCTGTTGGGGAGTAGCTGTCAGAGAGTAGGGTCAGACAGTGTTACAGACAGCTCTCTCTCCTTGCGCAGGTAATACCGTCTCGTTTTGGTGTGTCTTTATTTCATGTAAATTGAGGTCTTAGGGTACAATTCCCTGACAAAGGTGCATTATGTCACTTCTCTGGTAGAGAGTCCGTCAAATAATTTTCTCTGTGCAGATGTTATTGCTTTGTTTGAAATGTTTCGCAGTATGGTATTAAACCTTTTTATCTTCATGGAAACCAAACCAGAGCAAGTTACAGATCAGATCTGTGGAGAGGCAACCCCACTCACAGTCAGAATGCCTGTTTTTCTCTATATTTTTGAGCAATAGAACCATATGTAATTAAATAAATGTAGAGATGTTTAATGTCAATTTTTGGTGACTCTTTCCACCTCTGGATTGTAGTTGTCATGAATACTGACAAGTAAAAAGTCTGTTCAAACTTACAGTTTATTGTTGTTCCCATTATTGTCCAAGGAGTTGCCCACACGGATCTCAGCACCGTCCAGTCTCTCAGGGCAGCAGTCTCCTCTGTTTGTGATGGTGATGGAGGTAACAAAGTGTGGGTTTTTCAGGTCCACTCTCCACCAGGGGTCAGTGGTGGTGGCTGTGTGGGAGCATGAGTTATCATAGTAGATAGAATTGCGGTTACCATCAATGGCATTGGAAGCAGCTCCGAGCTCATTGTATGTGTCAATCTGGGTCGCTGCACCGGTAAGAGCCAAATTAGCTGAAAATCAACAAAAACAAATGTGGGGATTGCAGAATAAGATTTTTCAAAAAAGGGAAACATAAATATAAATGTGAGTAAAAGCAAAAAGCAGAAAAGTGTTAAAGACTTTGTACCATTGGCATCTGCCTCCCCGTAGACCTCCACTTCACAGAGGGTCAAATACTTGTCAGTTCCTGGTAGAAATACATTGACATAACGTCCTTCAGTAGGTGGACATACAATAAAATTTTCAGAACTGCCTTGTCCGATGTGGGAAATCGTAGCCACTCTGAAAATATATACATACCACAATATTTTTATTGAAGTACCAGTACTGTTACTTGAGTAAATGTTTTCTCACTGTGAGCAAGAGACAAAAGATTTATGTTAACAGTGTACATATTTGTACATTATTGAATATTTTGTCCTTTCCACTTATAAATCAAAGCTTGACTGGTCATCTGGAGCACCAGCAGTTTTCCCGATGGACCGAGGAACTTTTGAGCCAATCACTGTGAGACCTGATGTACTGTTCCAGTGACCTGCTCTTACACCAGAGACACACTGTGCAAAATGTATTTTGGACTCATATGTTTTACATGTATTAAAAGTGAGTATGAGTATAAAAGTGTGTATGGAGCAGCATGTTCTGTATGTAGAGTTCAGAAAATAGAATCCAAACTATTTTTTGACACTTGACACGAGCGTAAGCACATATCTCCATCATTTAATTACAATTAATAATATGAGTTTATTGAAAGCAGCCAAAAGCATCAGCATCAATTTTACACTCATTTTAAATGAGCAAGCTTAACATAATGATGATAATCAATTAGCCAAAAAAATAAAAAATAAAAAATCACTTGTGCAAAGGGGCTGGTCCAGACCAAAATGTCCAGGGTCAATTTCCTCTGTCAGTCCAGCGCTGAAATCAGCTCTTATGTCTCAACAGTTACTCTTTAAGTAAACACTCTTTACCGAGTAGTAGTTTTCCCAAATACTCTTTTACTCGAGTAATTTATTGAACCATTGCTTTGTACTTTTACATGAGAAATTTTTATTTTTTTTAAAAATTAAAGGTGCATTATGTCACTTCTCTGGTAGAGGGTCTGTCAAAAATTTTCTCTGTGGAGATGTTATTGCTTTGTTTGAAATGTTTCACAGTTTGGTATTAAACTTTTATATCATCATGGAGACCAAACCAGACCAGTGTTACAAGTCAGATCTGTGGAGAGGCAACCCCACTCACAGTCAGAATGCCTGTTTTTCTAGGTATTTTTGAACAATAGAACCACCTGAAATTAAATAAATGTAGAGATGTTAATGTCAATTTTTGGCTCCTCCTTCCACCTCTCAATTTTAGTTGTCATGTGTGTTGAGAATTAAAAAGTCTGTTCAAACTTACAGTTTATTGTTGTTCCCATTATTGTCCAAGGAGTTGCCCACACGGATCTCAGCACCGTCCAGTCTCTCAGGGCAGCAGTCTCCTCTGTTTGTGACGGTGATGGAGGTAACAAAGTGTGGGTTTTTCAGGTCCACTCTCCACCAGGGGTTAGTGGTGGTGAATGTGTGGGTGCATGAGTTATCATAGTAGATAGAATTGCGGCTGCCATCAATGGCATTAGAAGCAGCCCCGAGCTCATTGTATGTGTCAATCTGGGTCGCTTCTCCGGTAAGAGCCAAATTAACTGAAAATCAACAAAAACAAGTGTGGGGATTGCAGAATAGTTAGGCAAACACACAGAATTTCTCATTCTTACTTATACTAGCAGAAGCTGTTTCCACAATGAGCAAAAACAAAACTGGAAGACTCATAATTTTTCTGTAAAAAATTACATCTATGAATACAATATGGTTCATAGTAAGGCTGTCAAAAGAATTGAAAATCACATACTGATAGATACTAAAACTAATACTGAACTTAAATGGTCATATTTTTATACCTTTCCACTTTCAAGGCACTCAAAGAGTTTACATCAAGGAACCACTCACCCACCCACACACACACAGACCAGTGTACACAGACATTAGGGGTGTGACATGGTGCACCGTGGCATAAGGACACAATGACAGCATTCGTCTGTGGGAACTGGAATCACACCAACAACCCGTATACCAATGATTTGACGTTCTACCAACTGAGCTGCTGTCTCCCCTGTCACCAACTAGATAATTATTTGGCAAGTATTGATAACAAGGTAAAGGTACACTTGGTCAGGACTTTGGCAGGAGAATTTGACCTGTAGGTGTCTTCAACATACAGGCACTTTTGCTGTTACTTAGACTTAGACAAACTTTATTGATTTACAAGGGGAATTATTTGGACACAGTAGTTCACACATCACAATATAATATAATAACAAAAAGCAAATACAGCCCTTGTGTGCAACTACACTGGACCCCACCAATCTCCAATCTCCACTGAACTAAAAGTTTCAGGTAGCTGAATGAAACAAAACACAACTGCAAGTCTGTTTTTGATGTGGAACTATAATTTTTGTATAATGTCTATCACAGAATAAAGACCTGCATAATAATATTTGTAATATTTGAAATGTAGAAGCAGAACTTACCTTAATTTGAGAAGAGAGACAATATACTTCAGATGACACTGCTGCTGCTGCTTCAGGTCAAGAGTCAGTGCCTCTTTTTATTTACACACAAGCTGTGTTTTTATCATCTCTTTCCAGTAAAAACACTCCCTCATGAGTTGCACTGCCAAATGAATCACATCTGCAGAGCTTCTCTGTTCTTGTTATTTTGCAATAATTCCAGCAAATGCCTGTTCAGCCAATTTAAAACTCACTGATGACACATTTGCTTATTTACCATAGATTACTGTACTCTATACTTTTACTGTACTCTATACTCTTTTTTTATTTTTATTTAAAAAAAAAAAAAAAATATAATATATATATATATATATATATATATATATATATATATATATATATATATAAAGCAAAATAATAGGCTGTCTTTGCCCTTCCCACCCCCAACCAAAGATCACTATACTTTATATAGATTCTATAGTAAAGAAAAGAGGCAAGCGCTCTGTCTGTGCCAAATAGTTTTCCAGTGCTTCAACAGGACACATGGACTTGATTTGTTTAGTCACAGGTGCATACACACACTGGAGAGTTACTTGGTAAATGCATTAAGTTCACGTGTGCACCAAATATGTAATAATAGCCAAAGGTTTCTCGCTGAGGAAACAGGCAACAGTTAAACTGAATAACAATTTAGAGAGAAAATAAAAAGCATGATGCTTTGTAAAAGACATGTTTGGGAGTGGCACCTCAAAATGTCGTCCTCTCTGTTTTCTTCTGCATGTTCCCTTTCTCAAACTCTGTTCAAACAGCTCCCAGAGGAGGAAATGTTGCTCCACTTTATGTGGCTGTTCTCTCCACCAGATGTGCTCAACTGTGTGACGTGGATATGAATGACGTCGTACTGATATAAACCCACACAGGTGATCAGTAGATTTGGTCAGACTACATATGAAAAGCCTATCGTATTTTTACTGTAATATTTTACTTAATAACATATTTCATAATATTTAAAACCATATCTGTTGCTATCCTAGTGTACCTAACTGCATCTCTGCCCTGACATGAACTGAGCTGTGTTTCACCAAGTATCTGCACACCGAAGGAGGACATAACCAGTGAGCAGTGTATCAGCAATAAACCAACACTTTTTTTTTTTTTTAACAAGAGTCCCTTGTTCTTGTTAAGGTTTAAATTCAAATTAAACTACAGAAAACTATTTTTGGTCACGGTTATTATACCGTGGGAATTTTCATACCGTCTCATTCCTACTTTGTTTGGGAGCGTGCCTATGTTCCCACAGCTCTATGTTGCCTCTTTTCTAAGTGTTTTTTTTTTTTTTTTTCCCCCCAAAATTAGGTCCTATGTTCCCACATTTCCATTATCAGTTTGCATCAGAATTTATCCCTATTTCTCCCAAGTTGGTCGTCACACCTGACCTCTTCTCCAGCAGCAGTTGACAACAGATGTACTGTAGAGGTTATGGTATGGAGAAAAATCTTAGAAATAAGAAAAATCTTAGAAATAAGGGAGCATAGGGCTGACCTCCGTTGTCGTTAACTTTGTTTTGCTGCAGTAGTTTTTCTTACTGATCATTTTGACTGGTTAACAGTTGTACTTTATCCATTAGCCTTAAAGGTCCTATATAACACAAAATTGACTCTTGCACATTTTTAGTCATGTTAGAATATTGTCAAATCCTCAGAAACATACCGGGAGTTGTGTTTTATTTCCCTCAGTCTGTTTACATCTCCAAAGCTCTAAATGCTCTGTTCCACCTTGTGTTGTCATTGACAAGTTAGCAGCTACTTTTTACCTTTTGTCTAGTAAAGCCTAAATTATATCTGCTTAAATATTTTTGTGTGAATGAAAAAAAGAACAGCTCTGGGTATGTTTTTGATGAAGAAACAACATTAGAACAGATCAGACAATAGCACAATATGAGTGTTACGGGCCTCAGCCCTTTGGTGTTTATTATTAATGCTCCTGTTGTTCTCTATTTTCTTTCTTTCTTTTTTTCAGACAGACACAAACACAAATGAAAGAAACAGATAAACAGGAGATGCAGTTATTTAAAGGCAGTTTGGAACAGGTGAGTTTTCAGGACTTTTCTTGGAGATCTTAGCACGAGTGCTGGCACTAAGGAGGGGGCGTGTCCAGGAGGGGCTGTACTTTGCTGCTGGAGGCTGGAGTGGGACAGTACAAATACATATATGGTGACGGCATCTGAACCAATCTGTGACATTTAAAAGCACTACCAGTGTGGGTAATGTCTGCAATCTTTGCCTCATTATCAGGCAGCAAAGTGGAGTGTGGGAAATAAGTAAATATGAGCACAATAAAACAGCTCTGGAGCCCCAGGGTGCAAGTACACACCAGCAGAGGCACCAGGAATATAGAAGTTTGTATGGGCCATGACAGAACTGAACTGAGACAGAACTGGGTTTGTGTTTGTGTTACGAACACTCTGCGCACATGTGTGCCCCTCTCACACACGCACCACTGTAAGCCCGTGCACACGCACACACATCAACCTTTTATAGTTTTCTCTGTGTTCGTTAAGACCAGTGTCTCTCATGTGCTCCCCATCCCACAGCAGACCTGTTGCTCTCCTGTACCTGCTCCCGCCTGTCCCGGCAGTCCACTACCACAGACTCACCTGAGGTATTCTGGTAATTCACTGAACGCACCACACTGCTCCACCTGATGTTCAGGCACGGCACACCTCATGTGTAGAGCTCCACACCACACACTTGCACTAAGTGCTAAGATTGAGGGCAAGATCGGGCCTTGAGTGTGGATGAGTCTCTGATGGGTTTGGGCAGGGAGTTCCAGAGGGTGAGAAGGCCCTGTCCCCTTTGGTCTTGCGTGAAGTCCTGCTCAGGTGAGACAGGAGGTTGGGTGCAGTGGTGGTGGAGCTTAGAGAGGTAGGTGGGGGCCAGGATATGGAGGGACTTGTACACAAAGATGCAATTACAACTTCTGGTGTAGTTACCGACACTGGGCTCGCCGACTGACTGATAAAACCCATTGAAGTACTGTATTTTTTGGGCTATAAGTTGCACTTTTTTCATGGTTTGGGTGGTCCTGCAACTTGGATGGTCCTGCGATACTCTGGTGCGACTTAATATATTAAAATTTTCACTCTTGACAACTGTGAGAGGGCACTGGCTTGTGTCACTCTGACGCTCGGTGTGTAAAGACAAAAATAAATGTGTTACAGTTGCATCCAGTGCTTCATTAAACCAAAGCCTCGCTCCTGTGCTTCTTCCGAGGGAAAAGTTTTCTCTCAGGTCCGATCATTATTTCATCCTCTCTGTGTTAGGTCACAGCCACAGACTGAGCTAAAGAAGTCTATGATTGTGGAGTACACTGCACCGGGAACGTGGCCGCGCTCGTGCACAAGTTTCAGATGTATAATATTGTGGAGAATAATGAGTGGAATAAACAGCCCCTCTCTGTGTTTTGGTGAACGTCTGCTTAAATGCACAAAACTGAATGTAATTATTTTATATACGTGGATTTCCTGATGATTTCCCAATCAAACACTTCCTCAAACTTTCTTCACTTCTTCTCCTCTCCACGAGTGTCACTTTTTCCGTGTCTCCAGACTTTGCGTAGACCTTACAGGAGGCCCCAAGCTGCCAAGCAAGGACTTAGGACGACTTTCATAAATCCTGCGGTTGGTGTAAAGAGCGCCTACGCAAGGATTTGTGCATAAATGAGCTTTATAAATGATGCACCAGATCTGTGGAGAGGCAACCCCACTCACAGTCAGAATGCCGACATCCCTTCATTACAACATGCCACTAATTAGACGTGCTGGTATTCCAACACATCATATGTGTGTTTTGATTGGTTAATTAATTAGTCTATATGGTGTTCTCCGCAGATCGCCTACATGACAAAATGCATGAAACACAAAGGACCCATGCAGCCTCCTTTTTAGATTCTATATTTTCCTGAAGGCTGGGCTATGCTCTTTTTTTAAATGCATGTATGTTTCCCACAGCTATAAGTTAGGACATTTTCCCACTGTCTGATATCCTCAGTGGCCGAAGTATTCCCTAATCAAGTGCTTAGCACCCGCCCAAGCATCTTATGACATCTGGGAGCACTCAGTTTAATAGGCTGTCACACTGTTTCCCAAAGACTGGGTCGTGACAGTCTCGAGACTTTAGCTGCTGAAACAGTTCAGAGACATGACAAGACAAGACACGATCACTCAGTCAACAATAAAATATCCTCATTAATGTTAAATAATGGTCAAATCCACCTTTATTTTGTGATTTACAAATAATGTATATTGATTTGGGTCACCAAGGATTGTGACTTTTAAAATGTGGGTCCCCAGGAAAAAAAAAAAAAAAAACTGAACACTGGGCTATCACATTAACATCATGTCAGAAAAGCAAAATATCTGAGAAATAGTAAAGTTCCGCTACTCCAACAATGAAAAAAAAAAAAAAAAGTTGAAGTAGTGGGACACTTGAAAAATAATCTTTATTCTGCTAGTCCGACAGTTAGACGTCAATGTCTAAATAGCGGCATGTCGGAATAGCAGCGTGTAACCTAATGTCATACTGTGGAACATTCACACAGCTTCACTAGAATCATTTGGATAATTTCAACCCTGGAATTGCCCATCTCTACTGAACCAAATCTAAAAGACAGCTCTTAACTTGGAAACCACCACAAAATGGAACACTACATTTTGAGCTTTGGAGATGTAGACAGAGTGACTAATAATACAGGATTACTCAAACATGTGAATCAAACAAATCACAACTCCAGGTATGTTTCTGAGGAGGGAACAACATACTAACATGGCTTAAACGTGGCTTAACAAGAGTCAGTTTTGTGTAAAGTCGGACCTTTTAAATAGTCATTGTTTCTTTTACCTGCATTCTCTGTTACACATGAATTAGCTGTAGCTGTATGTTAGATTTGTAAAAATATTTCATACTTACCCATTAGAATGAAAATGTTTACACCGTCCATAATGAAATACATAAGGAAATAGAGCCGATAAAAGCCTTCTTAAGTAGTCTGACCAACTCGAAGATCACTCTCTCATAATTCTTCTCTCTGTGAGGTAGAAAGTAGCTCATTTGCCTGCATAAGTCAATGACTCATAAGATGAAAAAC